GGTTAACAAGACATACTACCTTTGAACATTTTAATTTTGCAAACAATATAAATGAATGATAACTACAAATGTTTATTAAAGGAAAATGAAGAAAAAAAGGAATATGAAATACTTCAAGACAGAAGGATGTTTCTAATATACTTCCCTGAAAGCCATAAAAAAAGGTTTCTTGTTTTCTTCATATAAAAGTTATTACAATGGTTCTGATCCCTCCCCTCCCAAAAAAGATGTATCAAGAATATTTATATCAAAATGGTAGTGAAAAGATATTTTACAATATTACATAACAAAAAATCTTGCATTATTCAACCTTATAAAGAACTACCGATATTCTTTACAAATATACCTATTCTAAGGTGTATGCTGTAATATGGGGGGGCAAAAGTTCTGATGCTCTTTAATGAATTGTTATTATTTAATGATTATCATTAGCATCTTATAAGAAGGCAGTCACATTGATGCTACTGCCAAGGTAGCATTGTTGCTGCTACATAAATGTTGGCTTTTATCTGAAGATTAAGATCAAAGAAGAAAAACACAGAAGATGGGCTACAGAACAGGAATCTAACTTTTTTGGTTCAATTACGAGTTTTTCTGGGAAGACACTTCTATGTAATGGGGTGTGAAAGTAACACCTCCATCTGTGGACTAGTAAAAAGCTAAGAATTAGAACTTCTAGAAAAATGTCATAAATTTGTTACACTTCTTTGGAGTGGCTACCTCAAGGCAACACGTGGATTAGGACACACTTTTTCAAACAAGAAAGCAACTGTCCCTTGATATTCATACACTCCCTGTGTTTCTTATTTTCTCAACTTTTTCCTGGTTGGTCTCTTCCAGTACTATTTTTGATAAAGGCTGATAAAGTACAGCCTTTCTGAGTTGTTCAAAGGTGAAATTAAGGGAGGCAGTTAGGCAAGCAGCTGGTACAGGAGTTGTCAGTTACAGTGGCAGCACCAGTAATAACCTCAAGAGGTAACCCATTAGAAAGTTAAATTCAAGGAGAATGAGGTAAAATCTTTGTGTTCAACCACTCTATCCCCCTTTTCTCCACCCTCTTCACAAAATCAAAACACAAAACCTGGAGCACTATGGTTAAACCTTAAATGTTAGAATTTTGGGGTTTCTCAGTAAATACAATTTTCAGAATAAAATGAAAATACCATAATACTATTCACAACGTCTTTAACGCAAACTGCTAAATAAAAGCAAAAGCATACAATATAGTGCCTTACCTTTTCAGATACTTTTAGCTTCAAAAAAAATAAGCCTAATCAGCAATTAGGTGTAGAAAGCAAAGGTTTCTCTGATCCTAATGCTTTCACCTCAGAATAAGCTTAACTATTCCAAACAAAAAATAAATTTACATACCACAAGGTACTTTAATCTAATCTGCCATTTTATAATGTGTTTTTGATCAATGATTCAAATTAAAAGTAGTCACCAAAGCTCACTGGAAATGAGTACCGGAACTTTACTATAGGTATTTGGCTCTAGTCTTAGCTCTACCACTTATAACTAAGCAGACTACTGATACTCCATGCTTCAGTCTCCCAGTCTACACAGAGAAGGGATTAAGCTATTAAACAATGGACAACACCTTTTCAAAAGCACAAACACAACTGACTGGTTCTCTGGATCTAATCCACAGAAAAAAAGAAAACAGAAAGAGATGAAGAGATAGTCCTGACCACTGTTACTAGAAATAAACAAATTCCCCTAAAAGAGGAAGACAACAAAAAAGGCAGAGTAATACTGCCATCTAGACAAATACAAAATCAAATCTCTATGAAGTTATTCTATGGCTATGTTAAGCATCATAAAGTGCCATTCAGTCAATGTTTTAAACATAACCACTCTACTGTAGACGTACCAAAATATTTAGGTTCAAGTCAGGAAAACTTAACCCTTTGTGAGCTACTGGCCATAAAGTCTGATGGGGTAAAGTCTGTTGGGGTGGCTATTGTTGAGGTTGCATTTTTAAATAATGATTTTTGCAGAGGTTCTACATTCAACACTAAAAGGAGAAAAATATGTACTTAAAAACAACAACAACAAAAAAAAACTAAAATAAGAGATTGGTCTTCAGCATCCTCTTAAGTTCACATTTTCAGAAGCACAAGCTTTTCAGTACTAAATATTTCCTTAATCATAAGTGAAGTGGACAGAATAGATTTGCTAACAGTGCCAAGTGTTTTAGCAATTATTTTTAGGCCTACAACTATAGTAATTAAGTACATAGAAGATGAGTACTACAAAATTCTTAACAAATATTTCTGGGAAAATGTGTTTTGTTAGTGAGAATAACAGAGAACCCCAATTGTAGGAGAAAACTCAGGATACCAGAACTGAAATGATCAAAAGCCTACTGCCTTTCAGAGTCAAAGGCACAGAGGCAGTGCACAGACTGCGGGAAGAAACATGTAAACAGTTAACCTGCAATCTAAAGTGGCAAATGCTACAATATAACATTGCTATAGATTTACAACAATCTAAGGGGAGACTTAAGATTCTGCAGAGGCCCTCTCTAGGGAATTCTGACTGGCAAGGAATTCCCAAGGTCAAATGTATCAGACTGTACTGCAAATCTACACTGTAGTATATTCCTTGGAATTTCAAATACACAGAAAATAAGATAAGATTCCCCGCCCTTAAGAAGCTTGTACAGTGCAAAGAACTCAAATTCAGCATTTGCTTCAAATAATGATACTGACTTTTCTAGAGGTGGAGCTACAATGGAAAAGCAAAAAAAAAAAAAAAACTTTACAAATAAAATCATATTACTAGTTTGAAGAGCTAAGGCTCAGTCTAAAGAAGGATAGGAGAAATTCAAAATTGATGATCCAAGATTAAACAGCCTCTTGAAAAAACTGAAGGAAGAGAATCCAGTTAAAAGAATAAAAATAATCTGAAAACGGCGCATTTTAAATTGAAAAACTGGGGAATGAACCCATAGCCTTCACCCTGAGCTATACTTCCTTCCCTAGATTTTTGTTTTTAAAACATACTATCACTAAATCGCTGCTCAGACTTGCAATCCTCCTGTCTCAGCCTCCCAAAATGCTGTGAATACAGGCCAGCACCACCAAATCAAGCTATTGTACACTTCGTTGTGCCAATGGAGTTGAGAGCGATGCATAAGAGTTATTAAAAGCACAAAATCTGGAACCAAACTCCTTATACTCAGCTCTGAATTTCACCACTTTCTAGCTGAATTAGAGGGCGTTACCACTCTCTCCCTTAGTCTCTGCACCTGTGAAAGGGTTTCAACAATAAGTGTCAATAAAGCCAGGTGTGATTTATCACTGTATTGATCAAAAACCTTCTTCTCAAAATCAAATGCACATCATTTAGGTAGTGGCAATGCGTACAGTCTACTTTCCTTTCTGATGTTAATCCCAATTCAACATTTTCCTACTTCCATGAACCATGGATCTAGTATGAGCTCTGCAAAACAATAAGCACTCTGCTGTCCAGAAGCCTCTCCTCGCCATCTTTCAAGCCCACTGCCCTAGGAAAGATTAGTTTACCACCACTGTTTGTGTTTGGTCTTTCAAGGCTTTTCACGTCTCACTAAGGCAGTAATTTCAGGGAGTGGGTCAATCATCTTCATCCTCCTTCCTACCCATCAGCCAGGAGACCGTGAGTGTGGAAGGCTGGGGTAAGCTTTTACCAAGCTGAATGTTTACAACTGTCTCAGTTCCAGAAATTGCTTAATATCGCATCATTTTAATTGTTTTCGGATCCTAAATTCTGGACACAGAATGTCGGTAAATATCAAGACAACACCATCGTATGGAGAAAAGTTCTATGGAGTACCCCCACAAACACAACGCTCCCCAAGTTGACAATGCGGTCGCCCTGGCTCCAGAAGTTGTGTGTGCCGCGGAGGGCAGCTCCACACCGGCCGGTGCTGAACTTCGAAATAAAGAGGCGGTGGCTCCACTCAACTTCCAGCGGCCAGGGCCCGCTGCGCTCCCTACTCCTGGTCCCGCCGCAGAGCCCCCGAGACGCGGGTCCTCCTCGCGGCGGGGCTCAGGCCTGCGCCTTCACCGGGTCGCCC